ATGGCATGAGGCTGTGCAGCAGCACTCCTCGTGGGGCTGGGAAGGATTGGGGTGTGTTGCTTCTGCACAGGGTGAGTTGGTGCTTTGTGCGATGTTGGGGGGGCGTTCAGCAAACACGTGGGCCCGTGACCCCAAAGTCATGGGAGAAGACTGCAAACTCGATGTGCTCATGGTCAAACCACGTCCAGATGCATAGCCTCCCTCTTCTCTCCCAGGGGCAAGGCCTGGGATTCAGGTTGTGCTGCATTCCCATCAGCCCGGGGGCGTTTCCGGTTCTGCTCTTCCGGTGGGCTGGGTGTGGGAGGAGTCTGGGTGATGCAGCGATGAAGCGCTGGGCTGGCAGCCAGAGGGTTGACGATTCAAACCCACCCAGCGGCCCTGTGGGGACGCGACCTGGATTCGACTCCATAGGATTAGTGTCTGGGACACCCACAGGAACAGGTCAATGCTGCTATGTGTGTGTGTGTGTGTGGGGGGGGGGGCGCTCTGAGCCCGAATCGGGTATTGGAGGGGTGCACCGCATAGTGGGTTTCATTTGCATCCTGGTGACCTTTGCGATCGGGCATTTTTGTAGCTGACCTCATGTGAGCACACCTCCAGGGAATGCTGGGAGGGAGGCTGAGGGTGTAGGGTGGAGGGTGGCCACAGCCTCTTTCCCTACCTCTCTCTAGGTCGCTCAGGTTATGTTCTCAAGGGATGGGCAGGCCTTTGGGGTCACACGAGGAGGCCCTTCAAGGATCCCTGGTGGCATAGTGGTTACACATTGGGTGGCAAGATCAGCAGTTTGAAACCACCAGCCGCTCCTCAGAAGAAAACCCAGGCTTTCTACTCCTAAAGAGTTCCCATCTCGGAAACCCACAGGGGCAGTTCTAGCCGATCGTATAGGGCCGCTAGGGGTCAGCATCCACTCGGTGGCAGTGAGTTTGAGTTCTACGACTCCTGAGCACCCGAGGGGTAGATCTGGAGCCTGAAGGGCCAGGGCTCAAACCTTTATCATACTTCCAGCTGGGACCTTGCAAACGTATCTTACCTAAGGTGACCAGATTTTAACATTGGGAAAGCGGGACACCATTGATACAACTCATATCCTGGCGAAACAGCCACATGGCAGCCGAAAACCATATACCCTAGCTTGTCGTGCATTCTTTCCAAAAATCGGGACTTTTTAAAAGTGCTGTGGGACGGGGGAAAAATTGTTCAAAATCGAGACTGTCCCGCCAAAAGCGGGACCTCTGGTCACCTTAATCTTACCTGCACTCGGTGCTCCCCGCTGAACCATGGGGAAAAGACAACCTCTCTGAGGGGTTGTAAGGAGGATTTGATCAGGTTGCGGTGGAAAATGGCCCGTGCGTCCCAGGCACACCTGAGCTCAGCAGCTGGTAGCAAAGCTGGTTCTGTGAGGAGAAGAAATCAAGAGCTGCTTGACTCCTCCCCATTTCACAGATCAGGAAATTGAGGACCGGATAAATGAACAGCCCCCACTGCAGTTGAGTCGATGCTGGCTCACAGTGGCCCTGTAGGATGGAGGAGAACTCCCTAGGGTTTTCGAGGCTGATGGAAGAAGACAGCCTCATCTTTTCTCCCTCAGAGCAGCTAGTGGGTTTGAACTGCCAACCTTGAGATCAGCTGCCTGACGAGTAACCCCGGGAGGGCTCTTTGGGTAAGTTAAACCCAAACCACAGACAAACCCACTGCCGGGGACTCAATGCTGACCCACAGCAAGCGCTCTCAGCTTCCGAGACGGTACATCTTTGTTTGTTTGTCTCATGAGATAAACTTTATTGCATCAAAGTACCGCAGATGGGTCTAAAGGACTCACCTGGACTGCAGCTGGACACCTCTTAGATCTTCCTCATCAGCCTGCTGAGCCGTTGCTTTTTCAGAAACACCATCCAAAAGCTTTCCCATATTGTTGTTGCTTTTAACTGTCATGGCTTGCCGAATTAAAACAGCTGAATTTGATACAAGCTTAGTGTCATTTCCTTCAAGAATTAGCTCATCTTTCTGGGCCCGAGAAACGGAACAAGCAATCCCTGGCCTCCTGCGGACCCTCCTGATGTATTTTTCACCCAAGAAGTTACGGATCTCAACGAGACCCGTTCTCCTGAACACCACGTTGATGGGGACGTGGGCACACACACCCCTCCTCTTGTATCGAAGCCCAGGGTCCCACCCTCAATCATACGCTGGACAACAGAGAGGGAGGGCTGTGGCCAGTCCTTTCTAGTTCCCCACCAGGTGTCAGCGTGAAGCCTCTTCTCTTTCTTCCCAGGGAGACTGAGCTCCACGTTGACGTGATTGAAGTCCCTCCCCAGGTTCCTCTGGGGCCCTTCACGACACTGCGCCCCTTCAGGGAAATGTCCACACTCCCTGGGCTGTCGCGGCAGTGCTGAGAATGGTCTTTGTTCTCGCAGTAGATGCAGCAAAGGGCGAGGATATGTCTTTATGGGAGCAGACTGCCTCATCTGCCTCCCTCAGAGTGGCTGGTGGGTTTGAACGACCGACCTTTCAGTTAGCAGACCCAAAGCTTAACCCATTGTACCACCAGGGCTCCTTGGGGAAAAGCCGTTTTCCTGAAACCCTATGGTCAGCTGTCCTCTGCACATGTGGCCCTCACAAATGGACTTGAGACTGACTACTATTAGCTGGCAGGGGGAGGGTCGCCCCAGGTCATAGAAGAGGCTAAGTGCCGGGCAGTCAGAACCCCCAGTGGCACCGAGGAGGAAAGGCCTGTGAACGAATGTGCTTCCCAAAGGTTACAGGTTGAAAACCCCAAGCTACACAGCTTCACTCTAATGATGGCAACTAGCGACCATCTGACTGTCCGCCTGCTGCTAGTGCCCACCCCGCCACATGCCCCCTTTCTCCTTCACTTTATCACTCCCAGTGGCCCTTTGGTGCCATCATCTCTGTCTCAGGGTCAGGGTGGCTGGCAGGGAAACATGCCTGCCCAGGACAAAGCCAGCCTCGGTCTGAAGCTCTAGGTGACTGTTCTTGCCGCCGAGGGCAGGGGCTCAACCTTGGGATATGTTTGTGGGTTTTGCTTTTATGGTTAAAACACACACACAAACACAGACACACCTCCCACCCACCTTGGGTGTTGCATAAGGACCCCTGGTGCCACAGTGGGTCATGTGTTGGGACTGCCCTGCAAGATCAGCAGTTTGAAACCACCAGCCTCTCAGGAGAAAAGGGACTTTCTACTCCCATTACGAGTTACAGTCTTGGAACCCCCCCAGGGGCAGTCTACCCTGTCCAATAGGGTCAATATTGAATCGGAATGAACTCCATGGCAGTGAATTTGTTTGTCTGTTTGGGCAGGGAGTGGGGAGGGGGTGTGAACGATTAAGCACTCAGTGAGCTGAAAAGTTGACAATTCAAACCCATCCCAATGGAGGGCAGTTCTACTCTGTACACGCCAGGGGCTGGCGGGGAGGGGGCGGTGTCAGAATACTTTGGTTCTGATCTGGTCTGCTACTTCTCATTGCCTGATCCATCCCTGCTTTAGGGCTGTGGGGGGAGATGTGCCTGTTTGTCCCTAAAGTCACCCCTCATCACTCCTGTTCATTGTACAGAAAGACAGAATGGGAAAGAGTACAGGACTTGGCCTTCTGGGAAAGTTGTTTCTTGCTGCTGGAGGGCACTAGAAGCCCTCCTGCCCCAGGGAAAACAGGTTGCCATCTGGTCCTAGCTTGGGAGAGGTGCCAGTTAACAGAATGAATGCAAAGGGGAGGGAAGTGGAATTTAAAAGCAAGTGAAAGGTTGAACCTATCAGCCATTCTTCAACATTCTCAAACTCTGAAACTCCTGGGAGAGGTTGTACTCTACCCTATCCTGCAGAGTGGTTCTAACTAGGGACGGAATCCATGGTCTGGGTTTGGGGCTGGTGAGCCTGGCCCTGTCATTGTAGGCGCAGGTGAAGGCCGCCGACCCGGAGTCTCCTGTAGGTTGTGGGAAGGCTCGTTCTTTGCAGTAGGCACTCTGGTTTGCAGCAGACACAAACATTTAACAGTCACTGTCCAGTTGGCTACCGCGCACGGTGACCCCATGGGTAGGTGGCAGTATAGAAACTCTACTGAAACACTGAAACTATAGGGTTTTTAATGATTGATTTTTCTGGAATCGGCCACCAGCACTTTCTGGCGTAGTACTTAAAGGATGGAGGGATTTTTCAAAACCTTTGCTGTTTCCCAGGCTCACAGGGCTCAGGCTCAATGCAATATTGTCAATGTCAAGTTCGTTGTAAAACTGGCCCTCAACCTTCCTAATGGAACCGCTGTTAAAAGATTAAAAGCAGTATGAAATCTGTTGTCAAAATTCGATCAAGACCTCAAGGCATGGCTGTGGGATGCTGTTTGTGGGTTGGGTGGACTGGGGAGGTGGGCTTCAAAGGTTAAGTGTCATACTCCCGGATCCTCACACCCCAAGGGCACTTCTTGTGGCAGCTTTTCAGAGGATGCTGCTGTTCCCTGCATGACCCCAATCTGCAGCTGGTCGCCAGGCACAGGGGGCCAGGGGGCGCTGCCTCCCACCCCGGGTCGGCACCCAAGTCCGCTGAGCCGTTGCTCCGCCAGTCTCTTTGGCCATGAGATGCCTCAACCCCCACCGCTCCTGTGTCTCCCCTTCAGGGTTCCTGATGGAGACCCGGGGACTCCGGGGACGCACGCACCAGCACGGCGCCCACGCGCCGCCCAACCGGAAGTGCGGGCGCATCACATGCTCTGCGGGAACTTCGCGTGACGGCACAGCGTCTGCGGCTCGGCGTGCTTGCGTCATCGCGTAGGCTGGCGGGGTACGGTAGTGGCAGTGACGTTCCCGAGGCGTCCAGCAACCGAGGGCGGGTCTATGGGGGTGGGGCCGCAGGTAGACCCCGCCTCTTAAAGCCGCCAGACCTCTTCGTGGTTGGCTCTGGGCGGCCGCAGGGCGCGGCGCCTTTAAGGCTCGCAGTGACACGTGTGTCCCGCGCCGGAGGCCCGGATGGTGCGCACGCCGGACTGCGGGCCGGGAGACGCCAGCGCCGCGCGGGCCTGCAGCGGCGGCCCGGAGGCCTGGTAGGCTGCTGCGGGCAGCGCGCGGGGAGGTGGCCGCGAGGTCATGCGGGCCCCGGGAGGGCGCTGGGCACTCGGCTGCGGCGCGTCCCGGGGCGCGGGCAGCGTGGATGCGTGTTCACAGGGCCCGGGTGCTCGCGAGGGAGGGATTCGGGGTGTCTGCTGAGACGGGGTGTCCTCGAGAGAGGGTTTCTGGCTGTCCACAGGGTGGGGTGTCCGTGAGGAAGGGCCTCGGGGTGTCTGCCCAAACGAGGTGTCTGCGAGGGGGAATTCGGGGTGTCCGTAGGCTGAAGTGTCTGCGAGGGGGAATTCGGGGTGTCCGTAGGCTGAAGTGTCCGCGAAGAAGGGCCTCGGGGTGCCCGCGGGGGGCAGGGTGTCCACGAGGAGAGGTTTAGGGTGTCTGTGGGAGTGGGTACCCCGCAGAGAAAGGATTCGGCGTGTCTTCCGGGTAAGGTGTCTACGTGGAGGGGCCTCGGGATGCCCGTGGGGTCTGGGGTGTCTGCAAGGAAAAGTTTTGAGGTGTCCTGGGGTGGGTTTCCTCGAGGAAGGGACTTAGGGTGTCGGAGGGGTGGGGGGGGCTCGCGCATTCGCCTGAAGGGGACTTGGCAAGTTCACTAGGGGTCTGGCGCTTCCCCGTGGGGGGCTGTGCGTTCTGGGATCTCGAGGTGACCCTTGGAGGCTTGGGGGTGCACTCGGGCTGTGGTGCATCCGCCACCCTCTGTCTCCTCCCGCCCCTTACCCCTGGGAACCCTGGGCTGAGGTGCGCGCAGGCTCTGCGCTCTGGGGCTGGAGCGGGCAGCCGCGTGGAGAGAGTCACCTCGTGGTGCGGTGTGGGCTCATTAAAGGCTCCTGGCTTTTCTGAGTGGGTTTCCCCTGGGCTGCTAGGAGCTAGAGGCAGAGACAGGGAAAGTGACTGGGGCTGATGGATGCCAGGAAGCCCTTGGAGAGCACGGATGGATGCTCACGTGTGTTCTTTACTGGCCCCGGCTGGCTTCCGCAGAGCTGCCCAGAATTGAACTCTAGCTGGTAGGGACCCTACCTGTGTACCCCCACATGAAACACTACCCAGCCTTATGCCATCCAGTGCTGTAGCCACTGTGTCAATCCATCTGGTTGAGGGCCACCTTCTATTTTAGCTGACTCTGTACTTTACCCATGTGCTGCACTGGTTGGTGTAGTGGTTATGCGTTGGGCTGCTAACCTCAGGGTCAGCAGTTTGAAGCCACCAGGAGAAGGATGAAGAGGACGAGCCTTTCTGCCTCTGTAAAGAGTTACAGTCTGGAAAACCCACAGGGGGAGTTCTACCTTGTCCTGTGCGAGATCGCCGTGAGTTTTGAGAGCTGCTTTCCCAAGCATGGTGTTCCTCTAGGGATTGGACCTTCCTCAGAACACAAAACACATCCAAGGTTTTCCTGGGAAGTCTCGCCATCCTCTGTTCTGAGGAGCATTCTGGCTGTCCTCCCAAGACAGGTCTGTGCATTTCTCTGGCAGTCTGTGATCTATGTGGTACTCTGTCAACACCGTCATTCAGTTCATCGGACCTCCTTCAGCTCTCCATCGCCCAGCTTTGACTGTGTAGGAGGTGACAGAAATACTGTGGCGGGGGCCTCAGAGCACATCTTTGCTCTTTGACACGCCGAAGGGGTCTTGTGCCGCAGATTTGCCCAATGGAAGACATCAGTGGCTTTCTTGACGGCTGCTTCCAGGGCCCTTGGTTGTGGAGGTGAGCAAGGTGCCGTATTTGGCAAACTTGGGTCTCTTCTGCTGATCATGATACACTAGTTGTTGTGAAGAGTTTGCTTTGTTCGCATTGAGTCGTGGTCCGTTCTGGCTGTGGCCTTGAAGCTCCTTCTGTAAGACGTGCTCCAGATCCTCCACATTTCCAGCCAGGTCGTGGTGGTCTGCGTGCCGGTCGCCCAGGAGCAGGAGGTTACCCACAGCTTGTCCTGATCCCCACCCTGAGATGTCTTTGCCTAGTCACCGGCACACAGCGAGACATCTTTCCTGATGGTCCCTGTCTACCCCACCTCCCTCGTCCCAAGTCCCTTCCAGCTCTGGCGGGACTTGCTGTGTCCATGACACTGCTGCAACCCTTTCTGAGTGCGGGCCAGCAGCCTTTTGCCTGCCTGTGAGAGTCATGGTGCTGCTCGGGCCTTTCCACCTGAGTTGGATCGCAGCAGGCCCTGGGGAGGCCTCCCTGCCCCAGAGGGTCTTGTCTTCCTCGTCGCCGCCAGGGTGAGGCCGAGAGGATGAGTGTACAGTGCAGTTTAAATGGAGAGATGAGGGGGGAGAGCACAACAGGCCTTTGAGGCTGCCAGGTTTGAGCCCCTGTAGCAGTGGAAGCGGACTTGTAAGTGTGTTAAGTGTGACTGTCGTGCGGGGCTCCTTCCCTGGACCCTGGAGGACTGCTGTGGAGAAGGGTGTGGATGCCCCCCACAAGGTCCTTCAGAGGATGTGCTGATGGGTGCTCCGAGGGGTGGCTTCCTATGGTTACCCACACCTCGGGGAAATCACTTTTTGGTTGCTGCTTCACATTTGCAGTGGGAAACATTCTGTGCTTTCGAAATCTCCCGACTCCTGCTCTGGCACCGGTGCCTTTTCCTCAGGACGCTGGTCACGAGTTAAATTGGGTGAAAGAGCCATCACTCTCCGGATGCTCTCCGTCCTCCGGCCAGCCACCCACAGAACCCTCTCCTGTCCTGTCCCGGGTGGCAGTGGCTGTGCAGTGCTTCTAAAGCCAAGCACCTTTGCAGGGCTGAGGCCACGTACTACACAGGTGGACATCAAAGTCCATTGTCCAAGTGTGCCTTCAGACTGGTAGGAGGGCTGTCCCACTTGCTGAGGCCGTCAGTCTGTCCCGGGCAGGCAGCCTCCTCTTCCTTCTAGCGACTGGTGGGTTTGAACCACTATCGATTAGCAGCCTGGAACTTACCTGTACCACCAGGGCCGTGTGTGTGTGTGTGTGTGTGTGTGTGTGTGTGTGTAATACACATATATCTACATATAACACATACATGCATTATATTTGCATATCTACCCACATACATTGTCCATTATCTGTAATTTCCAAAACTCAAACTCACTGCCATCGAATCTATTCTGATTCCAATCAGCTCTATAGGACAGAGTAGAAACGCCCCTGTGGGTTTCCAAGGCTTTAAATCTTTACAGGAGTAGAAAGCTTCTTCTCTCTCCGTAAGAGTGGCTGGTAGGTTTGAACTGCTGGCCTTGGGATTCGCAGCCCAACTTATAAGGACAGCACCACTAAGGCTCCATTCTGTGTACTTCTCAAACAACTCAAACTCAACTGCCGTCGGGTTGATGCCGACTCATTGCTACCCTGTAGGGCAGAGTAGACTGCCCCTGTGGTTTTCTGAGACTGTAACTCTGTACAGGGGTAGAAAGCCCCATTTTTCTTCCCTGAAGGGGTTGATGGTTTTGAACTGCTGGCCCTGCAGATCACAGACCAATTCATAACCATGCACTACCAGGGCTCCAGGTCTGTATTCTTAGCAGAGGACAAATCTGGTGGCTCATTGTTCTTGTCTTTTTTAATGAAGAGTGTGGGCTCAGTCTGAGCTTGAGGCCTGGGCTAGTGTTGGAGATGGTGGTGAAGGCCGAGGTTCAGGTTAGAATTTGAGTCTGGACAGGGTTAGGGTTTCAGTGCATTCGATTTCTGGCTTAGGCTTAGGGTCTGGCGAGGGCTGGGGCTAGTTAGGGTCAAGGTGTTAGAAGTTAAGCTTCTCGGGTGTTTTCCCGACCCCTCCGCACCCCCGGCATTTTCCTGCGGCGCTCGGAGTAGACAGTTGGGGCTGCTTGTTGGGAATATGTGTCAGGCTCTCCCCTGGTCTGCCTGGGCAAGAGCTTGTCCTGGCAGCTGTGGTCCTCTAGCCGCCCTCCCGCCCTTCCTGTGCTCTCCACGATGGCTAGTTCTTGGAGGGGAGGGGGGTGGCCTCCTGTGACCATCTCTCTGTTCACCCCACAGAGCCAGACGCTGCTTTTAAAAGAGCTGTGAGGCCACTTGGGTGATCGACAGGCACCGCCGGACACCTCCCTTTAGGAGCCGTTGCCACATCCAGCCCTCCCAGGTAAGCCTGCGGGGGCTCCTGCCAAGCTGGCCAAGCTACCTCGTCACTCTGAGGGGGCTCTCAGGGTCCCTGCCCCTTAGACAAAAAACCTCTTACTTCCAGTTGAAAACCCAGCTGGCACCTCCTCCCTACCCCACACCCCGCGCCCCATTCTTCCCGCCTTTCATGAAATAACCCAAACTCACTGCCATTGAGTCAGTTCTGACATGCATCGGCCAACCCGCTGTGATACCCGGGCTCCTGGCATCTCTGCGCTTTTAGAAACTCTTCCAGAAATCCGAATTCAACCCATGTATGTGGGGCTTCATGGAAAAAACTCAGTCTTTGAACTCCATCTTTTCATGGGGGTTTGAAACCACCTCTGGGGAATTCACGAGCCTTGTCTGGTAGCAAATTGAATGGCTTCTAGGGGTTGAGGTTCACCTCTCCCACCCCGCAACCCTGTGGCTTGTGGTTTCTATTCTTCCTCTGAACTTTGAACTTGATCCATAGGTCAGTGCTTCTCTCGATGAGTTTGGGGTACAGTTGGCTGGGTGGCTTCTTGTGGCAGGCTGGGGCCTGGGCACCAGGCTGTGTAGCAGCTTTCCTGGGTGGCTGAGTGAGCAGCTTAAGGAACACGGTCCCTAAGTGTAGCTGTGGTGGATACAAAGTAGCAGTCTGGGTGTACAGTCTTTCTCTGCTACAGTGTCTCCTGCATGTGGGGATGGCCCTCCTCCACCAGTGGCTACAATGTGGCAAGCACTCTGTGTGGCCCCTGAAGGCCTCTGTTTGCACCCCATTGCATATCAAAGACCAGGAGGCATGGGGTGGTGGGAGGCATGCTCCAGGAGCAACTTCCTTGCCAGCTGGGGATGGAGCTGGAAGTGGCCTGGGTGCCTGATGGGCTGGCCCTGTGCTTGGTCAGGGCTGGGGCCACCCTCTTCTCATCAGTCACTACTTTGTCTTTCACTGTGGTTCTTCCTCCCTTGCTCTAAAAGACCACCCAAGTCCACTGACATGGGATGCCAGCATGTACCCAACTCCGAGCTTTCTGTTGCCACAGGGGAGAGGACTCCAAAGCCGGTGTGCCGACCTGAACCCTAGGTTTTCTTTGCCTACTCTGCGTCCACATGCTGTCCAGGGCAGTGGCTGAGACACTGGGTAATTGTCTCATCGGCTTTGTCATGTTAACCAGCCCCCCTGCCTCCCGTGGTCCCGCTGAGCTGGGCCGAGGAGGGTCCCCGGGTGTCCTCCTTACAGAAGTGCCACTCGAGTGAGGGCCCTACCAAGCGCCAGGCAGAGCTGGGCAGCTCGGCACCCAGGCGGGGCGGTCTTTCTTCCCACGGAGCCACTGCGTGGATTTGAACTGCCGGCCTCGCAGCTCAGCTCAGGGCTTATGTCACCAGGGTCCCCTCTAAATCCTGGAGGCCCCTCGGGCTGAGTTCATCCCACGTTAGACTCTCACTTCTCTCGGCCTGTGAAGCGTGCCTGTGCGTGACGCTGGTGCCCATGTCTTGTGGACCTGTGTGTGTGTGTGATCAGTGTCTTCCGAGAAGCAGTGGGCTTGTCCCTGGGGCCTGCCTGTCCACGCTCGATGTCCGGTCCCCCCAGGGCTGCGCCATGCCGATAGTCGATAAGCTGAAGGAGGCCCTGAAGCCCGGCCGCAAGGACTCGGCGGCTGACGGGGAGCTGGGGAGGCTGCTGGCGGCCTCAGCCAAGAAGGTCCTGCTGGAGAAGATCGAGTTCCAGCCCGCCAGCAAGAGCTTCTCCTACCAGCTGGAGTCCCTGAAGAGCAAATACGTGCTGCTGAACCCCAAGACTGAAGGAGCTACTCGCCACAAGGGCGGCAGTGAGCCCCCGATCAGGAGACAGGGTACGGCATGGGTCCCCCCAGCAGCCGAGGGGTCAGCAGATTTCTTTGAGTGTGTCTAAAGGTGTCGTCCCAGGTGTGATGGGCGGGCGGGGCCGTGGGAACCAAGAGCAGAGAGACACAGGGTGGGCTGCAAGGGGCCAGGGGGAGGTGCCAGGTGGGGGGCAGGCTGTGATCTCTGAGCGCTCGGGGTATGGAGTGACTGGGTACCTGGTATACGTGGTGGTGGCAGCAGCAGCCCTGTCCTCTCGGGGCTCGTGTTCACCTCTGCCCTGCCCCACAGGCGGGGAGCGCTCGTACGACAGCTGCACGGACGGGGTCCCGGCCCCCCAGAAGGTGCTCTTCCCCACCGAGCGCCTGTCCCTGCGCTGGGAGCGTGTCTACCGCGTGGGCGCCGGCCTGCACAACCTGGGCAACACCTGCTTCCTCAACTCCACCGTGCAATGTCTGACCTACACGCCACCGCTCGCCAACTACCTGCTCTCCCGGGAGCATGCGCGAAACTGTGAGTGTCCCTGTGTGGGAGGCAGGGGGCAGCCAGTCCCCTGAGCAGGACTGTGTCCTCACCAGAGCAGCTCATTCTGGGGTGATGGTGGGCACCAGACGCAGCAAACAGTGCCCCAGCACGCACAGCGGTTTTTAGAGACAAACTGAATTTAAACAAAACCCAACCCATCGGTGGTCTCTGAGGCCCTCCAGCTCGCAGGCCCTGTGGGACAGAGTAGCCGCCCCTGCCTGCATTGCAAGGATGTGTATCCTGAGGGACGGAGACCCCAGGACCCTCCTGTGGCCAGCTGTCAAGTGCTTGCATCACGGCGCCACTGCAAACACACACAAGCTAGGGCCTTTGGGTGGCTCTGGCTGATGGCACCTGCACAGGGTTTCCGAGGCTGTGCGTTGCTACAGGAGCAGACAGCCTCCTCTTTCCCTTGTGGAGCGACTGGTAGATTTGAACCACCTACCTTGGGATTAGCGGCCCCACGCCTACCCCCCTGTGCTACCAGGGCTCCTTAAGAATAATTCTTGTGGCCAATGTAGCCAGGTTTTTATTGGTGTGAAAACAGGTGGTGTGTGCCACTTCAGTCATCGTCACTGGTACAGCTCAGTGACTACAGTGACATCACACCCACCCCACCCCAACCAGACAGAAACTGGAGGCACACTTGAGAAAGGCCCCCTGGACACCAACGTTTCATGGACTTTATTAGACAATCCCTAACACAGGAGTTCAACTCTGGGGCGGTTCGGAGGCAGAGAAACCGTGGGTGAGTGAAGAGTCGGTTAATTCTGAAAGAAACGGAGGCAGACCTAACAGATAGAAGTGCCTGGTGAACTGGCTGCCGCTCTTAGCATCGAATTGTTCCCGTCCTTCACAAGCGTGTCTGATGGGTGCTGGTGGGCTGGTTCGGTCTGGTATCGACCCTGCCCTGCCCTCCGCTGAGAACCAGGCCAGCTCATTCTGTTAGGTTCTAGCAGCTTGGAGAGCAGCGTTATACAAGAGTGTCCGTCATGAGAGAGAAGACTCCAGGTTTCCCCTTACTCAGGAACCGTCGTAGGTACAGGGATTCCAGGCGCAGGACCCCGCCCCCTTGTTGTCAGTTTTGTCTGGTGCTTTCCATCTGGGTGCCTGTGCCACCGTGGTTCACAGCGCAGCAGGCTCGCCCGGGATGGACAGCTTTCCCTGCATTCGCAGCAGACCTGGACAGGCTAGGGGGAAAGAGCGGGCAGCAGACTTGGCTTTTTCAAAAACGTGGCTAAAAAGTTATAAAGTAACAAATGGGTATGCTTAGAAAAGTCCAAAATGAAAGCTATGCCCATCTCAGAATGGTAAGCGCATCGTGTGACTGGGGTCTGATGTCCACCCAGGAATCAGGTTTTGGTGTAAATAAATCCTGGCATCTTTGTGCCCCTGGAAAGCAGGCAACGAGGCCAGCCCTCACGGTGTTGAGACGTCTCAGGAGCCGCTGCTCGTAGGTGTTGAGGAAAATCCTAAAACAGGATTGAACAGGGTAGTGGCATATTCTTTGTACTTCCCTTTCTGTTTCAAATGTCTCAGAGTTTATAAAAGCTAGCGCTGCCCTGCCACCTGCCCTAGCCCCTGCTGACGGTGCCAGCAGCAGGGCTGGCTCACGGGCCGACTCAGCTTCGCAGGCACTCGCTGTGCACATTGGGTTGCCAGTCGAGGGGACTGCTCTTGCTCTCCAGAGGCAGAGTGGCGCAGTAGTGAACGTGTGTGGCCTGCAGAGCCCTTGTGTGTGGGACCCAGCCGCTTACGGGAACATTAGCCTGGGGGGGGGGGTGAGACTGCTGACTTGGGGTGTCAAGAGACCCTGAGACACTAAGCTACTGACCTTCCACACACCTTGCACTTGCCTTTGGAAAGTTGGGCTATTGCTGATTATAATGGACTGATGCCGTACATACCATGCGCTGCCATTACTCTGCTGCTGACCCAAAGATGGGGGTTTTGAGTCTGCCTGGGGCGCTGTGGTAGAAAGGCCTGGCAGTCTCTTTCTGAAGACTGAGCCTCAGAGGGCCCTGAGGAGCACAGACTGGCTGGGCCACGCGCGTGGGGCTGCCCAAGTCAGGATCAGTCCAACAGCCAGTGGTTAATGAACTATCACAGGTCTCAACCGATCCCTCGGGATGACCCGTGAGCTTGCTGGGGACCCCGCTATGGACATGTCTCCTCAGTGATCCTCGGGAAGGCAGGGTCACGATGTTCCTTCTCCCTCGGGGCTTGTCAGGCCAGGCAGGGGTGTTGTCGCCAGTCTCTGGAGAACTCTGTTCTCTGTCCACAGGCCACCAGGGGAGCTTCTGCATGCTCTGCGTCATGCAGAACCACATCGTCCAGGCCTTCGCCAACAGCGGCAATGCCATCAAGCCTGTCTCCTTCATCCGGGATCTGAAAAGTAAGGGGCACTGCCGTCAGGCCCGGCTTAGCCTCGGGGCTGCCCAGTGGGCAGTGGGTGTGGCAGGGCCCAGTCTTAGGAAAGGAACCTGTGTCTCCTTGGGGCTGTGGTGCACTCAAGGGATAGCCATGCAGCCCCTCCCTGAGGCACGGGGCACCCTGCCCGAGGAATGCGTGGTACTCGGCTGACACCTGCGTGCCTGGGCTCCTGGTGTTCCATGCTGGCTCTGTGGCATGCCGCATCTGAGCCCTGCGGTGGTGGGAGGGACTGGCCTGGTCCTCTGCACCAGGAAGGGCTGGCAGGAGTAGCCCGGCGCTCTCTGCCCAATGACAGCCTTCTCCCGCCCACAGAAATCGCCCGGCACTTCCGCTTCGGGAGCCAAGAGGACGCCCATGAGTTTCTGCGGTACACCATCGACGCCATGCAGAAGGCCTGTCTGAACGGCTACGCCAAGTACGCCCAAGGGTGGGCAGACACGGGCTCCCCACCAAGGCTGGCGCCTCCTACAGCCCCTCGCCCAGGCGATGGGCTGTGGTCAGGGGCATGCAGCAGCCCTGGGGAGAGGAGATGGCCCACACACCTGTGTGGGATGTTCAGCTGCACACATCCCCATCGTGTCATGACTTTGCTGGCATTTTCGCTCCTGGTCTCTGGAGCCCACCCGCAGGAGCAGGAACTTGTGGGGTTCCAGGTGTCCTTGTGAGAGAACTTGGAGGAGGGCAGGAAGCGTTGATGTTGGGAAATGGAAGGCTGGGAAGCCCTTGCCTCACAGTGGCATGGATGGCCATAGGTGAGGGTGTTTGCTCTGTGCTTCCCTTCTGGTGTCTCTGCCTGGTGGCCTAGTGCTCACGTGTCAGACTGCTAACCACAAGGTCAGCAGTTCGAAACCACCAGCTGCTCCATGGAAGAAAGGTGAGGTTTTCTGCTCCCAGAGAGAGTTCCAGTCCAGAAAACCCCCAGGTCCGGTCCTGCACTGTCCGGTAGGGTTGCTGTGTAACAGCCTGGACTCGACTTAAGCCCCAAGGGGTTTGCCTTTGGTTTCTCCCGGTGTCTCTGCTTGCTTATTTTGCTCACTTTTATTGTGACTCAGGTTTCCTTCAGCTTGATTTCCTGGCTCCTTTTCCTACGCACCATCCAAACCCAGTGCCCTCGAGTCAGTGCAGCCACCCGAGAGGGTGCTCAAGGCGGCACACACCTCTGCAAGAGCAGCCTCCTCATCACCCCCCACTCAGACCCCTTGCTCCCGCTGGCTGACTCCCCAGAGGCTGGTGTCTCCATGCCTCCGTCCAGTTCTCACAGTTCCTGTGTTCGGCCCACCCGCCTCCTGCTTTCGGCCCGGCGCTGCAGTGGGGGCATGTTGCTGGGGAGTCCATCTCCTGAGGATGGGGAAGGGCGCCCTGGTGGCGTAGTGGTTACTCATGGGGCTGTGATCCTCAGGGTCAGCAGTTCGAAATCACCAGGAGAAAGACAGGCCTTCTACTCAAGAGTTTCCATCTCGGGACCCCCAGGGCAATCACCAAGAGTTGGCATCACTCCGTGGCAGTGAGAGTTGTCGTGGTTAGGAGACTGGGTGGCGTCGTGGGGTAGGCTCAGGGCTGTCACTGCAAGGTCAGCGCACCAAACTCACCAGCTGGTCCTGGGGAGAAAGATGAGGCGTGCCGGCCCTGCCCACCGCTAACGTGATGCCACTGCCCGGCCTCCATCCCTCCCCTCCCCTCCCCTGCCGCACTCCTTGAGGCTGGAGCTCAGTGTCTCTCTCCCTCTGATGGGAATGTGTCTCTTCCTTTCATCTTTTTAACTTGAATTTCACATGGACCCTGGTTTCTGATAGTCCCAAATAGTTGTTTGAAGGTCCATAGGTCCCCCTTTCTTCATCCTGCTTGGTGATGTCCTTTGATGAAGCCCTGGGGCCCTTGTCTCCACGTCTCTCCCCAGGGCAGACACCCGGGCCCGGCATGCCCCCTCTGGCAGCTCAGGGAAGTGTAGCCTCTTCTGATCTGCAGAGTACCCCCCACCCCCCACCTTTGTGGCTCCCCTGCCCTTCACCAGCTGCTCTCCTGGGTCACCTCTCGGTCCTTATTCCCCCACATCCGAGATCTGTTCTTCCCGGCTGCGTGCCCCTGGGAACCCCAGAGTCAATACCCAAGATAGTCAGGCTCATACCTTACCCTGACCCCTGGCAGCAGTGACCTCAGGTGACCATCACTACTGTCCCTACTTCTCTCCCTGCTGACTCTGGCCCTGCACGGGGCCCTGGGAGCAGGCCTTGGCCTTCTGCTCCTGCTCTCTGGCACCTTGCAGTGTGTGGATGCAGTCTGGGGCCGGCGGCCACCCTTCTCTGGGGGTTGACTGTGCGGGGACGGCCCTGCCTGTTTTCTGGTGTGGTGACATCTTTTCTCCGAGTGAAGTTGCACCTGGCAGATAGAACAAGGGGCCCTATGTTGGTCCCCAAATCTTAGGTGTGTGTGTGTGTGTGTGTGAGAGAGAGAGAGAGCTAGCTAGCTCACTTCCAGGGCTGGGGCGTGAACCAGCACAGCTGGGGAGGCCTGGGCATTGGTGGAGATGCAGAGCCTGCAGTGGGTTCTATGGATGGCAACTTCAACTGCACTTTGAGGGGTGCTGAGGAAGTCTGGCCTGTGAGGGGCTGCCCCAGGAATGGGGACGGGGGAGTGTGGCTTCTGAGAGAGCTGTGGACCCAGGGTTGGAGGGACACTTGTTTCCAGGGTGTAGACCACACAGTGTGCTGCCCCAGAGTCCAGTGAGCAGACTGCTAGCTGTCTGGGGGTCGCTGGCCATTCAGAGGGTGATCAGGCGGGGGTGCATGAGCACCAGGAGCAGTCTAGCTGTAGGTGGTTGTCTCCAGAACCTTCTGGCAGGGCTGGAGGCTGCTGGGGGTGGGGGAGGTGTCAGTGTCTCTCTGGGATCTGGGCACTTCTGGCCGCCCTGACCCGGGCCATGGAGTCTGAGGGGGCATGGCTCTCGGGGTGGTTTGCTTGCTCCCGTCCCCTCACTGGTCCTTGGGGGTGCATGCATGAGGGGAGGGGCCTGAGCCTGGAGAAGGACAGAGGGTGGGCAACTGGGAGGGTGGGTCTGTCTTACAGAAAGACCTCTCTGTTGCTCCATCGAGACTGAGAGTGAGTGAGGCTCAGGTGAGCCAGGCGAGCTGCTTGGGTGGCCTTCTTGGTGGCCACATGAGGCTGCCCACCGAGGGGCCGAGCGGGGGGCCTGGGCTGGGGGTGTCTTTAGAAGGGACAGGACAGTACAGAGGTCACAGCAGGCAGTGAAGAGTGAGGGTCCCGCCGAGGGTGGTGCAGGGCTCTACAGTCCCTGTGTTCTATCTGCAGGCTGGACCGCCAGACACAGGCCACAACTCTCGTCCATCAGATTTTCGGTGGCTACCTCCGTTCCCGTGGTAAGTGAGGCCGCCTTCTCTGTCCGACCCAGAGACCAAACACGGGCTGGGTGGGGCATCAGGGGCCTTCCCGGCACAGTGGTCACGGGCAGGTGGCCAGTCCAGTGGCTCGGTGCTGTCTGCCCTGGGATGGTGGGGGAAGCAGCATGCCGTGACGCTGTGGAGACAGGTGTTCTTGGGCAGAGAGAGCCAGGCCAGATCCCAGTGGGTGGGTGGTGCCCACAGGGGAGGGGGGGTGGTAGTCAGGCTTGCGGGGGCTGCAGGGCCAGCTTGGGCAGGTGTCTGGAGGGTTCACTTGAGTTAAGCTTGAGGCTGCCCCCTCCCCCACTTCAGATACTGTGGGCCTCAGGGACATGGTGTGGGCTGGGTGCATTCCAGTGTCTGGCCAGGGCCCCGTGCAGAGGCTACTGTCCGGTCCTTGGTCGCCATCTGCTGCCCACCCACCATCACGGCCTCCCTTCTTTGCAGTCAAGTGTTCCATGTGCAAGAGCGTCTCAGACACATACGACCCCTACCTGGACGTCGCGCTGGAGATCCGGGTAAGGGCTGGCATCCGTGGGCATGTGGCAGGCAGGAAATGGGTCAGGGGTGGGGGGGTAGTCAGTGGGTCTGTACTGTCTACATTGGATCTGGATCCAGTAAATAGAGGGGGGTCCTCAAGATGGACAGGGAAGTGCTTCAGATCTGCTGCAGTGCACCCCAACCCCTCCCCGGTTCCTGTCTAACTCTTCCTTACCAGTGTTTAGAAAAGTGGGAGGCAGAGGGCGGGGTCAGGACTCAGTTTTGCATCCTGAGCTCCTGAGCAGGGAACGTTGCTCATTCCGTACATGCGTTGGGGAATCCTGGTAGCATAGTGGTTACGAGCTGGGCTGCTGACCGCAAGGACCAGGCTACCAGCCCACCAGCTTTCCTGAGGGAGAAAGACGGGCTTTCTGCTCCCGTAAAGAGTTACAGTCTCCGAAACTCAAGGGGGCTGTTCTCCTTGGCCCCGTGGGGGTCACTGAGTCAGAATTGACAGGATGGCAGTGTCTTTGGTAGGTATATCCTGGGAGGTTGCTGGTGGTGCCATCATTAAGCATTGAGCTGCTTACCCTAAGGTCAGTGGTTTGAACCCCCTGGCCGCATCTTGGAAGACAGATGAGGCTGTCTGCTCCTGTAAAGACTGTCCACCCTGGAAAACCCTAGGGATCAGCTCTACTCTGTCCTGCAGGGTCCCTGTGAGCTGGATTGACTCAGCACCAGAGGGTTTGGCTTGGGGAGGGTATGCCGGGGGCAGAGCACAGTCTTCAGCACAGCGCCCTTTCCCTGGTGGGTCACCTGGGCCTCCGCAGGTGGGTGCCACCAGCTGCAGTCTCTGGGCTGGTGTAGTCGGATGCCTTGGGACTGACAGGCTCCAGGGCCCCTGGTCCTGCCCCTCTGCCATGGACGCTGGGCCTTCGGAGAGTAGCAGTCAGCAGATGTATTTTGTGCAGTGAAGCTTTAGTGATTTGCTGCCTCAGCCGGAAAGGGCCTTGCCTTTGGCATTCCCGAATCAGCGGCCCCCTGTGCCCCTTTCAGCAGGCAGCCAACATCGTGCGGGCCTTGGAGTTGTTCGTGAAACCGGACGT